AGCATGCTTCGTTTTCTGACAGGCAAAATAGCTGATACTTATTCAGATTAATGAATATATTCGTTGAAATGTGAACAACTTACAAAGATACATTAATTTAAAGTATATTAGACCTGCGAACACCATTACCAGTTAAGAAACTTTCGAAGCAATTATCGATTAGAGTTAAAAAAAAATGTTAATTTGTTTATAGAAAAATTCTAAATAACTTAATAAGCTTATTTATTACATGATTATTAAAATTAATTATTATTTCTTCTAAATTATACAAATTTATTACATGTCAAATGGTATTTAAATGTATAACCTTATTGTTGTAATCGATGTAGCCCATTAAGATTTTATATGTAAGTGCGCTGCTAATGCTTAGAAGAAATATTTTTTGAAATAATGTGTTGTTTAGAAGCCACTTAACCATGGTGTAGAGCTGAAATATATAAACATATAATTATATACTCTGTATTATTAATTTACTTTTAATATTTTACTGATTGTAAATACATCAAATCACGATATATATCCATCAAAAAATTACTTGCTAAATAAATAAATCTTGTGCATTATAAGCACTAAATTCAAATAAAGATATTATACATTAATATTAAGTGTACTGGAATATTAGTTAAGGAAATTTTTGAACAAATACCGATTAAAATTAAATATTTTTATGTAATGTAAACAAGGATAAAAACATTAAAATTTATCGAAATTGTGGTAAGATTTTGTTACAAAATTTGATTAGCGACGAACTTCGGATTCAATAAGATTTATTATTTGTGTATGCAAGATAATAATGGTAGAAATAAATAATGTTAGAGAAATGTTGAAATTATTAATTTTTATTTTTGATAAAATGCAATTTTGGATAAAATGTTAAAATGCCTTTATTTTTATCATTTTTATTTTAATAAACACCAACTAAAACTGATATAACAACAATGTTATAATTTCACATGTGTTGTATTACACTTATATTGTTGAGAATCGTTATGAAATTATAACAATGTTATGTGTTTCTTTCATTTGATATTTACTTTTACTAAATATTATTCATAAGATTATACAGACATTGTCATTTAGAATACATTTCGCATTTTTATTTCAAAACATACATATTAAAAAAATCTAAATTTATTATTTATTTCTCTCATATTTTAATTTTTATATAATTATTTGTTCAAAAGTTACAAAGGAAATATTCATAATTTACACACAAGATATATTAGCATTGCATTACACATAATATTATTAAATTATATTTTTCTTTCCTTAATTACCAGATACATAAATATTTAATGTAACCTCGAGAAACTAAATTCCATAAAAAATTTCGACACCTACATCGACATTTACATTAATTAAAATTATTACATAAACAAGGAAGCGTTCTCGCAATCTGAAACGATCACTGATACGTTTCTACTAATGTAAATTAACTTTAATCTCAATTAAACTTACTCTTCATTACTTTTCTAATTTCTAGAACTAGAAAAAGATGAAGAGTTAATTAAGCCAAGATTAAAATTAAACAACATTGATAAAAAAACAAGCATGAAAGAGAAAAGAGCGTGAGTGTATATTAACACACCCTTAAATTTTCCGGTTATTCCTGCTCCCTGTTCTCTAATCACGCCTTCCGCTTACTTTCGCTTCTGTAATTACGTGCAATCAGTGCGCGCCCATGTGAAGAGCGCGCGAATTCGCGCGAAGAATTCAAACGTAACGACGGCGCGCTGCGATGGCATTCGAAGTTCGCCGCGCGGCCGTCTGGCGGCGCCAGTGTCACGACGCGTCGCGCAGCGCCGCGGTAACGTTCGGTCGATAAACGGCGGTACACGGAAGGTTCTCTGGAGGCGCTCTTTCGGGACTCTCGACAGCTCTCGCGAGTGTCGTCGTCGCCAAGCAGTCGTCAAATACCGTATCGTTTGTGTTCTATCGCTGTCAGGCTGAGACTGGAGATTTGCAACGCGAGACTCTAGGCAAGGTTCTTTCTTTCTCTCCGCGATTCGAGGCAAACCGTGAGTGAGGCATATTACAACTTTACAACGAACGGCGGAATCCGGAACCGCGACTGATGTCGCGCGGGACGGCGCGGCGGTACTCCGACGACGACGGGTCGCGTAATCAATCGTGATCGGTCGCGCGCGTCGTGAGTCGTGAGTCGTCTACAACGAACGGGTAGCCGCCGCCCGCGGCACAGTTTTCGCGCGCCAGCAGTCCGTCGAAACATGCGTCCGTTGCGGGGCGACGAGAACCGAGCGACAACCGAGGAGGCTCCTTCGAGGAACTGTCAGGGGGACCGTCGCCACCACCATCGCCGCCGACGCCGCCACCACCACTGCCGTTACGCGTGAGTCAGTGCGGGATCGGACGGAGGCGACGCACGCAAAATGGCTTCGGGCGACAATGTGGACGTGATCGAGGTGGTCGAGACGACGAGCTTCCCCGTGCCGGCGCAGCCCACGGTGGATCACCTCAGACCGGAGCAATCCACCGTCGAGGAGGACTGTGAGTGAATGTGACACCCGTACTCCGTTTAATCTCCCTCCTCCTCCTTGCCGCGTGCCTGGACCATCCATTGTGACCTAACCTATACCGCGACCCCGGACGCCGCGTCGGGCGTCGTTTCTCGCTCGACGATGATTTCCTCGATTCTCGCGAATCACCGTGGCTGGAATCGCAACCTGATCGCGATGCTCGCGCCTCGCACGCGGCTTTGCGCTACTCTCATGTTCAATCGAAGATCGAATTTAATGTTAACTGACTGTGTTTGACAGCTAATGGGTGTCACCCGACCTACAAAGCGCGAACGTAAGAGTAAGAGTCCGTAAGAGTCCGTGTCGTCCGAGACGTGGGGAATGTTTGTTTCGAAATGCGCTCCGCGTGTCGACGACGTGGCTCCTTCCTGCGAGCTGCGAGGTAATCGATCGATGGATAAATTTGACGGTCTCCGAACCATTTCTATCCTCCTGTCGTCTTCACGATGCAATGGATACCTTTCCATTTGGTGATACAATTGACACAAGTCAATGCAAGTATCGTTCTGTCTTTATTACTCACGAAATGCCAAGAAAGATGGGACGACATTGGTATTAACTTGTGTTAGTAATATCGAATTTGATCATTTGCATTACACTAAATTAGTGCATACTAAAAACTGTTGTACATGAAATTAACAAAGCTAAATGCTAATGTAAAGCATAATGCATATTTTAAATAATTAAATATCTAATAATGATACTAGGCCTGTTTTTTTATCCAATGAAGAATGGCCGTCTATTAGACATCGTATCGACGTTTAATTGATGTCGAAATCACTGATATTACATATTCAATATTGACTCAACATCAATTCGATGATTCATTTTATCGCTAGACAGTTGAATTTCTTGATTCATCTTTTTTCCTTTTCGTTGAGAAGATAAAGAGAAAAAGTGAACTGTCTGAGAAGTTTAGTTGGAAAAAACACTTACTTACAGAAACATGTTATTTACAGAATATATATATATTATTGACAATGTCGTTTATTAACAGAATATATATATATTATTTCATTGACAACGAAATCAAAGTTAATTAAATTATTTACCATTGTATTCGGATACTTTATATAAACTAACCTTACAATAATACAATAATGTGTATTAATCCATTGTAGTGTAAGTGATCGAATTTATCATAAATAAAAAGCATCTAATCTTGTAGCGGAATCCGTATCATTTCACTCGCATCATAAGATACAATAGTAAAAATTCGTTTCGGTTGCGAATAATAAAAGCTTGCGTGCCAAGCTGAGATTTCTCTTATATTTTATCGCAATTTGACAGCTGATAGCTGTCAATCGTGACATCGAGTAACATGGAACGGCTTTCGGGAAATTTTAAATCTCCGGTGTATGCTCCACTGAAAAAAATCCGACGCTACGAAGATGAACGACACGGCCGAGAAACTTGTTCCAGCATGATCGTCTGCATGTAGAGGTGATTAGTTTTTAACGCACTGTTAATTTGCACTGTTAACTTGCGTTAAAAACTAATCTCCTCCACACACACACACACACACACACACACACACACACACACACACACACACACACACACGGCGATAGTGCGTATCGCCACGTAGCGAAGGGGCATTTAAGGACGTGGAGAATAATGTCTTCAGTCTACTCCCCGAGACTTGAGTATCCTTAGATAAAAACATCGCACATTCCACGCACGACACACTTTCCTTCTACGCGACACACATTACGTAATTACACGAGATATCTAGCATTGAAAACTGCACAGCGAAGCTCGACTTGTAAAAATAACAAATACAATGAATCTTTGTTCTCAATTCGCATTCGATAAATTCTATTCTATCGGAATGTCCGAAAATTGGAAACACTTCATTGAACGGATAATGCCATTGAGATCTTTTCTCGAAGAGCCAGGCTCGTCTTTCACCATTTCGTTAAAGGGGATACACTAGGTAACGTTTTATTACGCGAGAATAAGGTTCCCATATGTTCGTGAAATTTAATATAAGAATGAAGAAGAAAGAAATATAATTAGGGACATATACGAGTTTTAGTGTCATCGACCGAACGTTATTTAGCGAGTACGTTCGGATTTCATCCTCGCCGTTGCCATTGCTGATTCCAATCGAGTATGCGAATTCCACGCTTGATTTTCACTTCGTGTTCGATTTGTCAAACGATTCGCCTGATACACTGCGATTCGTTCGCCACAACTCCAGCACTGTTGAATTCATAATGTCAAATTCTACCCAATTTAAGTTATAATTATACTCAATTATACCTTATTTAATAATTTTTTTAATAATTTTTATAGGTCGTCACTGCTCTTATTTATTAGGTGTTGGAATTAATTCGTAGCGTTTTTTAATGAAAGAATGTTATTTATTTCACATGAGCATTAAAAAATACATTAATGAAAGTACTTCCCATCACTTAAAAAACGCTACGAATTAATTCCAACACCTAATAATATGCCATTAATTTAATTGAAACAACGGAATTGAATATTTTAATTGAAGAAATGTATTGAGAAGACTCGAATTTAGTTTATTATTTACTAAGTGTACACATTGATATGGATGTTGTTTATTTTGAAACTAAACAGTAAATAAGCCGTTGTTTGTTATTTTAATGCTGAAGACGTCATTTGAACGTCAAAACGACGATAAAGCGTTCACTTGTTTATTGGAAATTCAACCATGAATTAATTTACATTTTAACATATATAAGTAAAAAATAACAAAATGTTAACTCAAAGGATTAGATTATCATTCCTCTTCTGATCTTTATCGAATGATGAATTCGGTCACTCGCATTATACTAGTAACTGGATTAGCTCACATTAAAGGCTTTATGTAAAGTACATTGACATAATATAATTGTGACAATGAAACAATACATATTCTATACCAAATAACGCGACAATATCATTACTGGATATTTAATCGTTAAAAATATTTATATATGCTTTTACATTTAACTTTGTTAATCTCATGTAGAGCAGCTTTTAGGATGCACTAATCTAGTGTAATGGAAGTGACCGGAATTCGTTATGACAGTGAAGATGACAGCACACATTAATGGGGCATCGAGCCAACGACGCCGCGAGACGGCACGTGGAAACCCGTGCTCCAGAATTCGCGTGGAGTTTGCCACACAGTCGCGATAATGCCACTATTATCGGATTCGCGCCATCCGAAAAATAGATTTTTTTTTTCCCTGTCGTAGGAAAACATCGCCTACAAAAGTAGAACGCGCATTGGAAAGCGATACTGCATGCCCGAACTATTTCTCTTCTTCGAAAGATAACGACTTCCCCTTTATCAAGCGAAAGATTCTTCCTTCGCATAGAAAATCCTTCGGCCATATTCATACATTTTATTGACACGAATCGTACTTCTACAAGCAAATAAGAATTTTGTTAAACTTTGAACTATTTTTTTATTTCATTCTTATATCTTTCGAAAATGGAAGAAGTTATACCTACTCTCTCATTGCGTTTTATTCTTAAAGTTTAAAGTTCGTAAAATGTCGTATTATATATTCAGTGACTTTAGTTCGTTCTTCCTTTTAGACTCTAGACATTTCAAATGAGATCTCTTTGTTCGTCTCACATATTCTCTCTCTTAAACATTACGTGAAATACTCGAAATAGATTATTTCTTGAGTTTTTGATAGGAATTGTGTTAAATTTTAGATTATTTTTTCATTCCATCCTTAACAGATGAAGGAAATTGTATTCTCATTACATTTTATTCTTGAACAAGTTTAACATTTAGGAAATATCATATTATATGTTTAGTGACTGTAATTTTTTCTCACTTCTGAAGACATCTCTGAGATTTTTTTTTTATTCATATTTTCTCTCTTACTACATGATACATGATAATCGAAATGTATTATTTTCTAAGTTTTTGATTACATTGGACACGAAAGAACAAGAGAATATTATCTCTTGAAGAATGTCTCTATTATCTCAAGGATGAGAACTTTAAACGTTTACATAACACAATTCATTCTAGTTGCTTCGAAAGAAAATACGATAGTTTCACACGTTTTTTCGCGATGTGTGAAACGCGACGTCACAAACGTAGATTCTTCTATGCAAATGTCATTAAATATACGCGTATTATGCGTAACTTTGAGAAATTCATTGATGGTTTTGGTGATGGTTCTATTACTGGCGCCGCTTTTTTTACGGTTTTTGTTGTTGAAAAAAAAATTAGTTTCAGTCGAACCAAGTCCACTGCACGCGTTTGAATCACGAGCTCACAACGGGAGACGATGGTTAAAAATAGAAGGCTAAGTAAGGACATCTTGACTCGGTGTACCCTTATTCTACAGGCTGTATCATCCCAGGGGCCTTTTTCACTCGATATCGCAAACCACTATTTCCTCGCACGTACACGTGCCGCTTTTTCTACAAACTGGATACTGTACGCAGTAATTAATTAATTCAAAATTCACTTGAAACGATAAACTTGTTATTAGTTATCAATAAATCTATCGATGATTCACAGACTTCTTCTGGCGACTTTCATCTCTAAAAGCGGCTTCGTATTTTGATAATTTATTTCAAGAAGTTATTATTTATAAATAGATATGTGAGGTGCCATCTTTTTATTATAATAAAAACACGTCCACTTTACATTATTTATGAAATAATAACTCATAAATACTAGACATTATGTAATATAAGATGATATATAATTACATAATTCATACAGTGTTGCTTCTTTAATAAGATACATGAAAGCAGAAATATGCAGTAAATTTTAACAATTAATTAATCACTTTAATAGTAAGTGTGCAATAGAAATATAAATCATGGAATATCAGAAGGCTGTAAATATTTTTCAGTAATACGTGTTGTATTATGAAAGAAGCAATCTCGCTTCAGCGAATCGATCGTAAAAATATCATTGAAATCATATATTGTTTCTAATATCTAATATTCATTTTCTTGAATTACACTTAAAAAATTGTTGATTTCATGTAGAGATTCAAATTTTTTTTATACGTATCAGTGTTACTTGTATTATATTCGTACACGTACATTTCTATGAAAAATTGTTTTTGAAAAATCTTTTTAACAAAAAATATTGGATTTCCTTATTTATTATATCAGGATGTTTATATAATATAATAAAATAATATCTAGTTCTTACTTAATTATTTAACAGAATTTGTGTATATAAAATGTTAATTTTATTATCATTTTATTATCATTTTTTTAGTTTTATCAAAATCTATTATATGACAAATTGAATTATTTTTCATTATTTTATTAATAAAAAGAGCATTTAATTCTACGAAATTTTATATATTATATTATATACTTATTTTTACGGAATTATATCGCGTTATCTAACTTGAGCGCTATTTGTTATCAAAATACATAGGTAGGTATATTACTTCATATGACGTGATTAAAATGCTTTTGTTTTTTTTACAGATAAATCAATCGGAGAGAAAATAACATCATTTGATGTAAGTATCGATTTTTCTTTAACTAAATAAATACTACTTTTAAAATATTCTCCCAAAAAATACATGTGTTTCAGTTGTAAATGACAAAATCGATTTTATTTAAATATTTTATTAGACTCCAATGATTTAATGTTTAAATAATTACTAGCAATTAATGTAATCATATAAATGGAAATACATGCATACATGTATCTTCGTGCGCACAACTCAAAAGTCAACTCGTAAATAATAATTTCATTGTTGATTTAGCAAAAAAAAAAATTCAAATGAAAAAACTATGTTCATTCACTGCGAGTTTCAAACAAAATCCTTTGTATTTTGTTATATCTTTCTTAATTTTATGCTCCCTTATCTTCCTTTTCTAATAAATAATAAATATTTTTTATACAGATTTATCAAGAATTTTTATTTCTCAAATAATTTTAAAAAGGAAACATCTACGAAAAAGCCGCTTTGATTCGTAATGTGCATTTCATCATCTTTTAATTATTTTCCATTAACACTCGCTCCACTTTTGCGCGGATCCACATTCATATTGCATTTATTACTAATTTATTGCGATCGCTTAAATGTATGTTTTTCATTTGATTTTTATTCTATAAATACATTCAATGTACGATCGTGCATTATTACTTTCCAAATAAAGTTCATGCCGAGTGCGTAAGATAAAATGGGAATAAAGATAATAATCTGGAACAAGTAAATTGTCTGATATCTTTTGAATTAATTCGAAATAGATCAACATCGACCATAACATAAGATTTCTTTAATCTTCTATTTACAACCAGTCGCGCCAGATATATCCTAAGTTTACTCGCGAAATCATTTCTATTTTTGTACGACGTACAGATCTGCCCGTCATGGATAATTTACACTCGAACGTCCGCAGAATCGATTCTTGCACGCTTGCGAAAGAGTCAAATTGTGCGCAAAACGGGTTTTCGAATTTGCGATTTGTTTTTGTTATTACAACTCGCGAGAAGTCGTAAAAGATGCTTAAAAATATAGATAAGAGAAATATATTATAAATCACTGTTGCACGTGAACGATTATCGCGGATATCATGCTTCGATAATCACATATTTTTGCAAAATGTATAACTAATCGCAGCGATATCTATCACAACGAAGCAATATCTATAAATCTCCTTTTCTTCTTAGTTCTTATAATCATTCATGTGAATCGCGCGTAACCGGAGACATCTTCGGTATTTCTTCCGTATGGTGCTAAATACTACACTCTGCTACAACAGATAGTTTGTGATGTGTACATACTGAGACCTTGCGTAATGCGAGCTAGCCGGAACACATATAATTTGTTACATATAAATTCTCGCTGTGCGCATTTCAGATTGCATTGAATTATTATTATTTAAAGTGAAACTATTTTCCTTGAGTATATATTCGGTGTTAACAAGCATGTGTTATGTACTATCAATTATCTTTGCAGAGCTCAGTAGTACAACATGGTACGACAGGTGGCAAGACCCTTGTGGGGGTATCAAGAAACAAATCGGAACGAGAGAGGAAAATTGGGCATCGAAGAGTTGGAGTGGGAGGTGAAATCACATATAAGAAGGTATGGGAAGAATGCCAGTGTAGCACTCCTAATAGATAGTTTCTTCAGATTTTGCGCTTTGTAATCAAAGTTAAAGAGTATTATTAAGTGAAAGAGAAAGACTTAATAAGCTTATACTATATTATGTTTAGCAGTATGAGTGGTAAGGTCTTTTGATGTTAATAAAAGAGATAAGCTACTTTTCTTATTTAGCTATCAATGAGAGTGATGATCAGCTACACATGTTTACTGATTCAATCACCTGATATAAGCTTATTGCAGGAGAGATTAGACTTTCTCTACTTAATAGCATGGGACATTACTATCTTTTTCTTTATTAATATTGTAGGCATGATATAAAATTAAAATCAATAATATTTGTAATTTTATATATTCATGATTAGTTAAAAAAATATATTTTTTATTTATTTTATACAGATTCAAACGACACAAATTATGGGATCTATTCAATTGGGTATACAACATGCTGTTGGCGGTCTTGCAAGTAAACCGGAACGTGATTTATTAATGCAAGACTTTATGACTGTGGAAACAACGAACTTTCCTAGTGAAGGATCAAATCATACTCCAGCCCATCATTTCTCGGAGTTTAAATTTAAGAACTATGCACCTATTGCATTTCGTTATTTTAGAGATCTCTTTGGCATTCAACCGGATGATTTTTTGGTAAACAAATCTCAGAAATTTTTTTCTGTATAAATTATAACATTATGTACTAATAATAAAACTTACATTTTTAGATGTCAATGTGTAGTGCACCATTACGTGAGTTATCAAATCCTGGCGCCAGTGGGAGTATCTTTTATCTAACGGATGATGATGAATTCATCATAAAGACTGTTCAACACAAAGAAGGAGAGTTTTTGCAAACTCTACTTCCAGGATATTACATGGTATGTTCTTAGAAGTAGATAATTATACAATATAATATTATTTTTAACATATAAGCTTTTTTTATAACAACAATATTATTTCCTACAGAATCTAAATCAGAATCCAAGAACATTATTGCCAAAGTTTTTTGGATTGTACTGCTATCGATGTAATAGTAAAAATGTTAGATTAATTGCTATGAATAATCTTTTACCTTCATCTGTAAAATTGCATCAAAAATATGATTTAAAAGGATCTACATACAAAAGAAAGGTTTGTAATATTTTATATGAATATGTATAAGTATATTATATTTCAATGTATATAATTTTATTTAATACGTTATATATTAAAAATTCTAGGCATCGAAAACAGAACGTTCGAAGTCTTCACCAACGTACAAAGACCTAGATTTTATAGAACATCATCCAGAGGGTATCTTTTTAGAAGCTGACACATATGGTGCACTAGTAAAAACTATTCAACGGGATTGTCGTGTATTAGAAAGTTTCAAAATTATGGATTATTCTTTACTTGTTGGAATCCATAATCTTGACCAGGCTGTAAAAGAAAAAGCTGTAAATATCACATGACATTTTTCATATCACGTAAATGTCAGTATATATTTGTCTTTACATACTATACATACTATACATATACATAATATATTATAGCAAGAACAAAGATTATCGGCAAGTGCCGATGAAGAAATTGATGAAATGGGTGGCGAAAGTGACGGATTCATTCAATCTGAGAGAGAAAAACAGAAAGAGGATAGAATAGGCGCTGCTGCTTTAAATCGATCTCGTAGTATAAATCGTCAAAGGTTGGTTGCTCATAGTACAGCAATGGAAAGTATTCAGGCTGAGAGTGAACCAATAGATGAAGAGGATGATGTACCGTAAGCACGATACATTTAACTCTTATATAGATGTGTTAATATGTTTTTAATTATAATAAATTTCATTTTTATGTTCCCAACAGTTCAGGTGGCATTCCCGCCAGAAACGCGCGTGGTGAACGTCTTTTATTGTTCCTTGGAATTATCGACATTTTGCAAAGCTACAGGTTGAAAAAGAAACTGGAACATACGTGGAAATCGATGATACATGATGGGGTAAGTAACGTATATATAGTACACATGCGCGCGCGTGAATTTATAGATTTCCTTTTAATTATCATACTCTCTTTGACCTCCTTTTATTGATCTCAACGTCCTATTGTTAATATAAAAGAAATGTTCTTATTTTCTAAGGACACTGTATCAGTGCACCGACCAGGATTTTATGCGCAACGCTTTCAGGATTTCATGGCCAAGACAGTATTTAAGAAAATACCATCACGTAAGTACCATCCGAATCAACCTGTCCTAACAAGTTTGACTACAAGATTACACTCAGCAAAACTCGCTAATTTATGAATAATTTCACGCTTACTTACCTATCAGTAATTTAATCATTGTTTTCTGGTTGATCACATTAATTCGGTACATTAGATAAGAGATAACTGACTTCCTACAAAGATAGAAAATAAGTTTTAGCTGTAATTAGGAAAACTAGTCATTGTAAGATATTTAAATTGAAAGTCAAAATCTTTTTTGTTTATAATAACAACATCGATATTGTGATTCAACCATATACAATGCTATCGAATCTTTTATTGAGACATTTGAGATATATTTTAAACATTTGACGAGATGAAAAATGAGAGTAGGACAAAAGTATATTATAAATGAAGCTCAAAACTGGTACTTACAATATATATATAGTGTTAGAATGATATAATTAGTAAGGTACTTATATTGTTACTTAAAAAGCATATACCAATCCTCATAGACAGCAGTAAGCCGTAAGCTAGGAACATATTTTTCTTCTTATTACAATTTGCTACAAAACTCATTTACTTTATTTGTATAGTTACATGTTTCTTTTATCTAGCGTGTAACAAACTTATTAACGAATTGGAACATTAGGACACCCAACAAAATATTAGCTTCCACAAACATACTACTATTATCAGGATTGACACAAGCGATGCCAGTTTTAATAAATACTCTAGTTATTTGTATTTTAAGAATGTTGAAAGCGCAAGCCAGCGACTCAATTTTGTCCTAACAGATTTTATCACAGATTTAGCCGTCCAGAAAAATGTTCTAACGATTATAATAGCGTTATAAGATATTTGAATGACTGCAGAGAATGCGACAAATACTGTGCGGATATCCGAAAATTATCTAGACATGGTGCTTGCATCAATATCATGATTCTATTCAAATTTTATTTATCTATCAGTGCCTTGCGTAAATTAATGAAATATCATGCATAATTAGAATTATTTGTTGTTAAATAAGAATAATGCGCTTTTTATCTCAACGAATGCGATATCAATAGAATTCAATCCGATCCAAAACAGAGCTTTTCGGATACCTGCATTCGTTTCAAATCAATGCTGTGAATAAGAATATTTTTTGGGTTTATGAGTGTCAATTGATCATTTTTGGGTTTTGTTTTGGTGTAACTAATTGCTAACACAATACACGTTTGTATATTTTATTATATATAATTTTTCTATAATTTATAATAATTTTTGTTTTTAAGTTCAACCGTATTGTGCATTTCATATTTTTTTTCGATACACAATTTTTTTGATATATTTGTTTATAGAGTAATAGTGAATTACCAATCACTGGTGTCCACAGATATAGCTGAGTATTTTTTATATATCGATATTATTAATCTTGACTTCCATTAGTATTCCTGTATACTAGATTTTATTCCGAGCTATGTTTGAAAAAAAACAATCATCTTAAAGTAAAAGTTTTATAAAATGTTATATAAAAGCTAGAATCAAATATTTTTTGCTTATTAATAACTTTTCCTTGATATAGTCTGAAGATAATATAGCTGAAGATATGTATGCATCTGTTAATGTACAGATTATCACAATCACGATTTCTATCGTTTAGATTTTTCAGTCGATCAATAAATATCATGTGCCAAAATTTTATATGAAATTTCTTTAATGTGTCAAGGATAAATAAATCTTAATGAGAAAAGTTTCTATTTTATCGATGCGCCAAAGCAATCATTGATATATTTTCGTTCATCAGAGCTTATTAGTACAAAAAGATATAGTAGAACGCATGAAATACATCCGAGCATTCAAGTAGCGTATTTAATACTTCAAAAAGAAAAAAAATGCATGCCATAATTTTCTCGATACAAAGGATCTTTATAGAGATGCTAGTTTTGTGCGGTCTATGTATCTGTAGAAGAATCTCTGCGATATATAATGTTGAACGTATATATTTTTGGCAATAGTAGCAAATGTAGGACCGCGTGGGTGTACGAGATTAATTACAAAAAGAGTGCGAGAGTGTGAGAGCGAGAATAATCGGTAGAAGTAGAATTTTTTTTATTGTAAAAATATTCAGCTATTGACTGAACGTGGGCACCATTGTACATATTTATATATTTTACAATAAACATTTTCGCTGTTTACAATTTCATTTCATTTATGAGCCCACCCGTACACTTATAACTTACTGTACTACTACTTATATTACTACTACTACTACTACCACTACTTTAACTATTAATACTACTACTGTTACTGTACTGTTACTATTACTACTAATGCTATTACTGTTACTATCATTATTTTTGCTATACTAGTACTATTACCATCATTATTGACGTCGTTCCTTATTATGACATACATTCCCTAGTAGTCGTTATTCATATTAAGTTTTTTGCACCATCAGCGGGTTACACTTTGTATATTGTCTTAATATTGTATCGTGCAATGTGTTTGTTGTGTTACGTACGTTTGCGTTTTGTTAATCACCTATCACTTATACTTTATCATATGACTAAACAAATTACAATTGACAGCCCAAACATCTTAGGGAAAGTCATATAATTAGTGTAATATATTTTTTAAATTATCATACGTTAAAACGTCATTTCAACAGCAGAAACTTGAGTCGCATAAATCTTCGAATGCAACAAGATTCAATTGATTTACTCGGATAATAACTTGCAACTTGCTTGGTATCTACGATATTAATTTTTTCTATCCGAGTACACAAAAGAAATACAATCTTAAGGTCGCTTTGTATTTCAACTTCCAACATGTTTGGAAATTAAGTGTACCCTGACTTTTCTTTAATGTTTCTATCTATTCTCGGCAGTCCCTATGATTTTATCATTCGTTCAATGATTCGGTATACATAATCATATTATAAGCGGTATTAGCTAAATGTTAATGTTTCTTTGTGTCCCGTGCACTTCTTTTCGTGTCAACCCCCAATGACCTCATCTGACCTGCGAAACTCGAAAATTGAATACCAAAAGTGGACCTGCCTGAGATTAAGGGGAATCACCGCAAATTCCGTAACCTCGTCACCAGCTATATAGGTAACTCTGTCTATGTGTGTGTCCATCTGTCCATTTGTGTACGAATGTATGTTTGTTTTCACAAGATCCTCTGCTTGTATATGTATTTCTTCTTATGAATGATCTGTTTTTCATGTTCTATTCATTATGATTTTACAATATGTGGATTTATCTCACCTTTTATGTACACACAATTTTGCATTAAGCAGATAAAATCTATCACAATTTTTTAGAAGAATTTGAATAATTGTTTCAAAATAATTGCAAATATAATTTACAAAGTTAATGTTATATTTCTCTGCATGTGATATATTCAAAGATAGAACGGTATTCATTATATTAGAATGTTACATGTTTATTTTTATATTTTTTTACCTGATGAATTAAAATTGATAGGAATACAATAAATTAATCGATTTAGAAAAATCAATTACACATACATATCTGAGAAGTGTGTTTACATTTTACAATATGAATATTTTTTTTACACAATTTTAAACGCAACTTTTTATGTTTGTTACTAACACGATTTTTTTAAACTTGAATGTTTGTATTGAAATGTTTGTATTTGTTAAGCAAACTAAGTGAAATTAGCAGCAGAATTATGCAAATGAATTTTTCGAACATCTTTGTGAGAGTGTTTCTTATTTCTAATTTTATCGCTTTTGCTTCTGAGAATTGTATGCCTGATACATGTATTTTTTTATCACTCTTCGCACATATATCCGTTCTCTGTTTTTCTGACATACATTTTGCAACACACAGCCCAAGAATTTTATTATAAATCTAGGTCGTTCTTCTCTCAATATATCCAAGAATAACATCTATATTCTACAACATTTCACGATGAAGATGAACTCCTTAAAAAGATTTCGGTAATTGTGTTCCTCTATCTATAATTTCTCTATCTATAAAATTCTAAAATCCTAAACTTTCCTTATCACATTCGGTATCGTGCAGCAATTAGTTTAGCCTAGACATACCCTATAATCACAGCACGGACCGATAAATTAATGGATAAACGTCTGCGCAATTTACAATGAAATCTAGTTGTTACGTTTGCATAAAATGTACATCTACAGATTCCAGCACAATTTTCTCATGTACGTATATTCTTTTTCTGTGTAATTAATTAGGCATGGAGTAGCACATACAGGCGACAATTGCTAATCGTACAAAAAGTTTTCGCTTAAAAGCAAGCGAGGCCATTAAATGTTGTCCGCTTGACTATATTCTCATTTATTCACAATATGTGTTATAGATATTTTATGCCTGCGATTAGTAAAATATAAATATTTTTATACAATAAGTACATATACTATAGTTTAGAATTTAATAAATAGTAGAATAGTATAGTCATAGATTGAGAAAAGAATTAAATTTATACACAGGCTTGGCAAATGCAGTGCTATAGTAAGATTTGTCATTTAAACAGAAAAGTTAAATATTTAAAATCAAAATTATGGACGAAAGAACTATCGCTATATATATAAAAATTTGTCTATTTTTTTTATTAGAATTAATAAATAGATAAATTGGCTATGTAACTTATTTAAAATAAATAAGATAAATTACGTATAGATAGATTGCAATTTTAGTGTATTTTTTATCTTTTTGTAATTTTCTTTAGAATTCATCGTAATTATATTGCGATACTGCAAAGTAGAAACTATTTTATATACATATGTAATTATTGTAAAAATTGAATAACCTGATTTATGATATTCTATTAACAATTAAGTTTATGATATTTTTAAACTAAAACAAATTAACGAGACAAAGCCAATAAAATGTTCTTCGACCCTTGCTGATGTCAGCTTTTGTAGCGTTTTGAGCCCTTTTGATAGACGTACTTAACACGCATAATTTTTACAGCAGTTTTTAAAAATGAATTTGTTTAGTTCGCACAGCTTACGCAAGAAATTATACCATCGCATACTTTATGTTGCAGCTTTGAAACATTCCCCGTCGAAGAGGAAAAGTATAAGCAGACCATTGAGACCGCTAGAGGGTGACTTTGATTCAACCGGTAAGTTAAATGCGTTTCTTTCAAACTCAAATGATTTTTTTCCGATTTTCTATAATTCAAAAGTTCTCTACGCTTGTTCATGACATCACGCGAGAAATTGATCGGTTTTCGGAACGTCATCAGTAACAGACCGTAAATAATAATTGTTTCGCGTTTTTTAGTAACTGGATATTTTTTAATATTCATCTTCAGCGTGTCTAAAATAATAAATTGTAATAAGAGAATTGATTAAAGTAATGTCCGATTCCAAATAAAATATATCAGCATCGCGATTAGAGGTTTGGACGTGAATTCCGAAAATCGTGCCGAAAATTTCGACAGAACGTTTTCTTCACGGTTCTACTATTAGCTTTGCGCTGGATTTCACTGTAGCCAGGCACAGCGATCAGTGCAATAAACTTAGTTGCGGCATTCCCACGTTACCCGCTTCTAAAACATTCACGACAATACCGATATGTGAAGACATCGAGAGTTCTAGGTGAAGTTCCGTCCGATCCTATCCGATCTTCCTGTCCTTTACTCCATGTTGGTTTCCTATGGATACTTCACTACACGTATGAAAAACGTATGTACATTTATTATAATCTCTAATTGTCTAGTAGAATTTTAATTCGCACTACAAAGGCGCACCTTGTAAAGAAATCGATATTCAATCTCACGTTTTTCTTTTACTGGTGAATCAAAAGTTTAGAGAATTTTATCATCAGAAATGTAAGTCTGTACATATCCATATCTCGCACGGGCTCAAGTCATCGTCAGCGACGAACGGTAAAATCGGTGTAAATACTAAATGCAAAATTATATTGTACATAACGGAGAGAGAAAGCAGAGAATTGCTGCGTTTTATATATTCTTAAATTTATATTTTACCTGGCAAAAAATAATTCCACTGACACATACCTTTGCACCTCGCGCGATCCTTCTCACTTCATCTCTCCTTGTATTCCCACAATCAATTCGTTTACCATCCTATATATATATGTATATAATGCTTTTTACATTGTGAATGTCCGTCAATCGTTTTGTTTCCCTGCCACATAAACGCCCCTCGTTCGAATCCTCGGGTTCTGCCTCGGGACTCTATCGGCCAACGAGATGTGACAGAGAAACTGGAACCGCGATTTCGATGGAGTTTGCTTTTATCGTGCTTCGCTGCAAATGAAACGCTTGAAGGAACGTTGCGTACTCAATGATGAAGCAGGGTTTGAATGACAATCGCAGACGAATCGTTCGATTTTGATGCTATAGACATGCGAAAATAACTTCTACAATTTTATTGGATCAGAATAATTGGATCGAATATGAAGCACATATTTTTTGTGCAGCATCGATAGCTCTTTCGTTGTTGCCTCGCATCGTTTCAAACCCTACGGCAAAGAGATTTCGTAACGCCGAATATGAGATTACTTTAGTGGTACAATTATTGGCACAATATTGCCCAAATATTGATCCAATATATTTCCAATGTTTAATCAATATATTGCTAATAAATTGCTACTAAGACATCTTGTGCTTGTAACGCGCTTTCGGCACTGATGAATGGCTTCCGCGTTTTCGGGTACTCTCGAAATCCGTGGTGAGTTTCTCTGTCCGATTAAGAGCTGGATACGTATCACAGTACGGTAATGGTACATGGTGTTATATGGTGGTTTAGCGGTGGCGGCAACTGGAGGTTCGACAATGCATGCTACATCACCTACAAAGGCCGGTGAGTCTTATATACAATCACTTACTCTCGTAATGTACAGTTGTTTATTGTCATGTGAAACCATTTTCAAGATTGCGTCGCGATGTCGCGAAAATATACCGTTATCTTTTACAACGGTATTACACACGGAAAACGTGAATGTCAATATTCGTATTTTCTTTGTTCAAAAAGTAAAAACAACAATAAATGTTAAAGATTCAGAAAAATTTTAAAGATTCGTGTATAAATTCTCTAACTATCTGATTAATCTCTAGTGAAAAATTTAGTATTATATATTTAAAATTAAAGATGAAAGTTAATGAATTGAAAATAATTTAATTAACTCCATATTACAACAATATTTGTTATAAATCATGTGTCATTTATCGCTTTAATTAGAATTGCAAGTAATTGTTTTGAACTGTGCAACGTAAATTCGACGTATTTGTGAATTGCGGAAATGTTATCAAAGAGATTTTATTTATAACATCATTATGTAATAATCAAAGTGAACTTCATATACATCACTTCATGACTGGTTATGAATTCCTTTTTAATTACAAATATATATATATATATATGATAAATCGCGATATGTATAAAATATTGCACTCGCGGACTAACTTATTACTCTCGTAAAACGAGAGAAGCCAGAGAAGAATCGACGTTGCACAGTTCTCCAATCATTCAACTTCTCTCATCCGGCTTCTCTGTTTCTCTCTTTTCTCCTGTCTTTCTCTCTGTCTTCCCATCCCGCGCCATCGCGACGCGGTACACGCGACTTCCCTCGTTGAACCCTTGGATGGCCTCGAACTACCTTGAACAACCACGGCAGCAGTTAGCCCGCCCGATCCTGCGATCAGCGCGACGAACGTGGCGGCCTCGGTGCCGATTGCCCCCTCCCCCCCGGTTAACCTTGCCGCCGGTCCGCTGAGTCCGCCCCCGTTGACCTTAGCCACCGGTCAAGGTCCGCATCACGAGCATCCGCCCGGGGCCGCCCCCACGGTCAAGGTCACGAGTTACCCGGCCGTACTGAAGGGTAGAAGCGCGGCCAGTCCGCCGAACCCAAACCTGGTGCCGTCCGGCAAGATCCCACCTCCGGTGCCACCGCGGGGCACGGGCGCCTCGAGGACCGCCAGGTCCTCCGAGGATCACCGGGCGGCCAGCACCGCCGCCTCGACGACGTCGTCGGTGACTTCCAGCCGAGGTGATGAAGCAGCCATAATCACGAGATATCGCTTGCATGACAGTTCGTGCGATCTGCACCGTTCGCTCCTATCTGACCATTCCTGTACTTCTACTTCTATCACCACCGCTAAAACCGTGGCCTCTACTATCACTGCTGCTACTTCTATTAAAACTACTTCCGCGACCTCGAATGCGTTGCATGCTCATACATCAACATCCAATACTTGCCGCGTTACTGATCGCGATCGTATCGGTGGAGAAGCCGGACGGATTCGACTGATGGACTCGATTCAGCATTGGCATACCCAAGAACTCGACGAGGACGAGGAAGAGTTCGTCAGCGTGGTGAAGATTGAGGACGCTTACTTCATTAAGACTAGCCTGCATCCTCTCAGACCAGATAGGGGAATTCGTCGATCCAGTCACTTGAAAGACTTCAATGAAACGGGTAACGATAATTATGAAGTCTCAAAGAAAGGTACAGAAAAAAGAGGCGATACCAAGACGGATCATCTAGCGAAATTTACATACTTTTTAAATCCAAGCTCTCGAGCTGATCTTATGAATTACAAGATGTCGCGAAAGGACAAGAAATATTCTGAGACATATTATGAGAGAGTAAAGAGAAAGCAAAAGAACCTTGAAGCGTCGATCACGACAGTTTCGCATCTTCGTAAGCCAGTGGAAGATGCGAGAACACATCATATACATACATCTTATATGGAGGCTGCTGAAGAATGGACTAATTATAACCAAAAGATCTTAAAATTCGCGTCAATTAAAAAAGATAGTATTTTGCTGCAAAAAATTCGAGAGAAATCTAAGAGAAGAAAACGAATTGCGCCGGAACCATCGATGAAGAAACGAACATCTAAAAGGGAAACTTTTAATGGAAATTTAGCTGAAATTGAGAAAACAGACGCAAAAAGAGAAAATGAAAAATTGTCTTTGAAAATGAGTTCTTTAGGAAATAAGAGTGGTTATCAGATTCAGGAGAAAAGCAATAAAAATGACACAGGTTTTACAAGCAAAAGGAAGGAATCGGCAATCAGATGTGATGAAACGAAACAGAATTGCCCTTCTGGCAGAGATAATAACTATCTTGATAAGAAAAAGAATATCTCTAAGAATATAAATGATGAGCAAATAAATAATACAGGTGGATTCAAAGGAATTTTTGCAAACAGTTATAAAGCTGAAAACATGGAAGATAGGATAGTTCATGAAGGGATTAGTAAATTCGATCGACAGGCTAATGAGAGATTTAAAAAATATAAAAACGAGTCTCCGAAATCCGACTGTAAAAGCTGCGATGGAAATTCCTATTTTCGTGAAGAAGAATCTTCATTCGATATTAAGAAAACCAATTCGAAAGATGTGAAGCAAGATAAATTGTTGAATACAATCAAGAGAGAAGAATTCATATTTTCCAGTTTCGAAAACGATATTCGAAGTAGGAATAGCGATGTTCTAAAATGTTCCGTTTTCGAAAAAGTGAAGAACTTTGAGAAGATTAAAATGGATGTGAGAGGTAAAACGAAGGATGCTCGGCGAGAAGTGCACTTGGATAATTTGAACTACGGAAATGAAATTGATGCTATTAAACGAAAATTTGCACTGCCGGTCAATGAAATTCGATTGAATCAAGAAGAAGAAAAAATTGTATTGAAAGGAAGATTAATTAACACCGATGTTAAACACAAGAGACAAACATTTAAGTCTCTTTCGAGTAGTCATTGCGACAATTTATCGTTTAATTCAGAGTTTGGAATGCTAAAACCGAATGTTTCCTTTTTACATACTTATCGAAAGACGCGATCGTTTACATAAAGACATAAATTTCTTGGTTGCTAATTTTAGCAAAGCGATTTATAAAGGTATTAATAACGATAAGTCTTGATGTCATCCAACTGATGATGATAATCAATTGCGTAAACGATAGTATACAAAATTTCTTTCCGAATTTATAATCTTATAAAAGAGATCCGCAGCTTCCAACTTTATGAAGAAACTACAGCTTTCATCTTTCTTCACTGAACACTTATCACGTAAAATGTTTTGATCTATTTTGTATCATTATTGCATGACAACACAAGCATATGTTCTGACAATTATTTTTTACATGTTGTCGTCTCATATCTCAGATTGTGATAACAGTATTTTATTTTTGGTAATCATCAGGATTAGCGAAGATGATGTGCTATATTTACCGTTAAATGTTCGACCATCGTTATTAATAGAAGAGAGTAATCTGTGTTGAATTAATCTTGTTGTATCTTTTTTCCACGTCTGCGACGTTTCAATGTCAGTCGATTTAAGACATCGACGAGGTATCATTTATATATAACAAAAAATCGTTGTCGAGTTCTCCCTGCTTATTGTGTAAAGTTATCGTTATGTGATTGATTGATGTCTCTATTAAGTATCGTTCAAGTTTTATTAGAAACATATGCATAGAAACTGCATGCATAGAATTTCATTGCCACCAACGAGTGAATAAACGCAACGTGTTTTACAGGAAATCAAATTTTACTTATACCGCGTTACTATTCTCAGAACAATATCTCTTTTGCTTTTGTTGCTAATTTACTTCGAGTAATCCGATATCCGCCCATTTAATTGCGTTTATTTACCTCCTAGTATTGTACTATTTAATCGACTTGTCCTGAAGTTTAATAAATTGTTTAGTAGTAATTTATCTCATGTAACATAAGAAGATGTTCATACGAATACATTGATAATGTAGTAACCGCAACGTATAAAATTAAATCTATTCTGCATATTTTAATTAAATAGTTTATGTTGTACTTTCATAAATATGTATAAGTGAATACTTTAATACTCGTCTTGCTTCTATCACTTTTGAATATAAATGCTTTATATTGACATTTTCAACATTTTTAAAAATGCAATATTCTTAAATAAATGATATTATCGCAACTCTTAAAATTTGATTCATCAAATTTTGCTAGCTTACCTTCTTAGAAATGTTGAAAATTTCGCTCTGCATAGTTTTCTCGCTGCGTATATATAATCGCGCTTGGAAACTTTATATAATTATCTTCCTCTTTGTATCCTCTTTATCTTCCTCTTTGTATTAAATATCAGAAGTTGTTTATCCTAAACTTTCTCAATTATATTCATATACAGACGGGCAGAAGAATTAATTCATTGTGGAATTAGAGAAAATATCATTACTATTTTAAAAATGCACATGTTAAAAATTTTGATTGATTAGAAATTGTAGTACAATTAAATTCACATATAGGATGGTTTATAATTTGGAGTATTTGCTGAATTAATCTTTATGAAATCTGCATATATAAAATTAACAAGTGGTAGATATCGACTTTATACCATCTTATATGTCGATGAATTTTTCTTATAATAATAATCAATATTGTCAACAAATTAACATATACAAATCAATATAATGTTATGAAAAATGTTCCTAATCTTTCAACTTTTTTTGCAAATACAAAAAAATATATTAATACTTTTCAAAAAAATCGTAGGATAAGAAATTTATTTATCCTAAAATATTAAAATCGCAATTCAAGGAATAAATCGTAATTTTCTGCCAGTCGTTTTTATAAGCATATATAGATGTGATTATTATTAGTGTAAATATTGTAAACGGATCTCTTATCTCAGCCATCCTTTGCTATTCCACTCTTACCTATTATTTTAACATTTGATTGTATTAATTAGGGCTAATTGTAGCGCGCTTTTTGTAGGTGGCACCCTTCCTTCCACCTGCTCCACTCCGCCCCCGCCCTTTGATGATGCAGTCCGCTCGAACGACCAAACCTTGGCTTCTGGTGGTCACCTTCAGCAAGGCAGCGCAACCCCTATTCTTACGAGCAATCTGTTCTCTACTCATTCCAAACAAAATAAGGTTGTTCATCACGTTACTCTCACCAAGACGTATCACGATACTGTAAGGTGAGTACACTCTTCTGCCAATTGTTATCATTGATAATTTTGAAGTACCTCAATTCTCAATCAGTAATAAAATCAATAGAATAATATTATTTATCATTTTGTTCATTTTATATTTACATGAATAAATTAAAGATAGCTAACAAATTTAGTACAAAATAACAATTTTAGTGATGCATGCAGCTAAGAATAAATTGACGATCAGATGCAATTAATAAGACATGTACACAGAGAGTCTTTACACTGCTTGAATTTTTTTTATATTATCTATATTTAGCCTGAAATATATTTTATGCTTGTCTTCGCACTTTGCACGCATCTAAACAACATTTTTTTCTTTGCTTTATCACGGCAACCTCAGGAAAAGGAGAATGTTAGTATTTGATTTTAATTTAATCACACATGATTACTCGATTCCCTCAGCTTATCGGCATTAAACATGACGAACGAATTTATCCTCAGCATATCGGACGTGCATTTGGAGAGCAGCGGTAGCGGTAGTGGCAGTGGCGGCAGGGAAACTAAGTCATCACTGAGTGTCGAGAGTGGCGGCAGCAGCAGCCGAGGTGGTGGCGGTCTCACATGGACCCCACCGGCCGGAAGTGCTGAGGGTTCGACGCCAACGTGGACCGAGGGCACGCCGTCCTTCACCGAGAGCTCCAGCAGCGGCGACATAGGTAAGTTGCTCTACGCGTTGAACATCTACTACGGCTCCTGAAGGATACTGCCATGAGGACTTCTCGGCTTCTTCTGCTGGTATCTCCCCTCTCTTCTATTTCCTTCGAACACTCCAACGAGGAATCGCTCGTGCGAGAATACATAGACATTATATTGATTCTCGCTGTTGTTTAATTATCGAGTGTTAACGTAGATCTTCTAAACTTTCTAAGTGATTTTTTTAGATAGTTGCCTTTTTGTGAGAAAGATATATATTAGGAAATCGATTTTCTAGAATTATATCACATTGATTCTATGAATCTGAAACTTTTTTATAAGCCTTTTTTTATTTCTGATTGATATCAATTGAATGATGTAACAGAGTCAACAACATTGACAATCATGTTGGCGAAAAATTTTTCTATCTCGTTAATACCATAGAGTTATTGGACACTTGAATAGTGTGTATTGAATGTTCGGCTCATGAAAGAATTTAATCTTTCTAAACACTAAACGTCTTTTTTGTTAATATATTACATACATATACATTATTCTTATCAATTTTCAAATTATGTTATTATATATATATATATAT